TGTTCTCCTGGTAGTCGATCGCGCGGAACAGCTTTTCCTTCTCATCAACAGTCATCGCCTTCTCGAACTGTTTCACTGAGAAACGACGTATTACTTAAAAAGTCCTCGCAAGCAAAGTTATACCAGTAACCCAGATAGGGAATCAGATACTATGGACTTAATTTTACGGATATTTAGTGTCTCCAAGTTAATTAAGCCTTTTTTTAATTTACGTGCTATTTCAATTTTTATTGAATGATTTAATTCAGATCTAGTTACGATTCCCTAGTAAAATCTAAAGAAACAAATCATATATTTACTTATAGCTGTTCCTTCAGTAAGTTCTTCATCCTTGGAACTGCCTCTCGACCACCAGCCGCCAAACCAGCCACGAGATTTACGTGCTTCTTCTTCCAGTTTACCTAATCTTTCCACCTAGAAATTCGATAAAATCAATATATTTAATAGTGTTATAGTAACTGTAGTTACCAATTAAAGACTTTGAGTACAATAAGTTACGCAATAAATAATGCTATTTATGGATTTATACTAACTTCCATTTCTATCCTCTGTCTGATGACTACCAAGTTGAGTAGATCTAGTGATTTCTCAGCTTGGCAGATGATGTTATTCTGTTCAGTGGAGACTTTCCCCTTATTGGTAAGTTTGCACTGGTACGCGCTGGCATAGTCCTTGCAGAGCCGGCGATGGTTCAACATGTGCGTCCACTCCCAGTTCCTACGACGACGTCTCACCTCGTCTTCTAATATACAAGTGTACGCGAAATGCCACCATTGCTTGTAATGATTCTTGTAACTCCTTACATCGGGACGGTATTTTCTAAACAAAGGGGCTTTATGGTAAAATCTTCGGTTTTAAATACATTTTAGGTTGTAATTAAGGGGCGGTGTAATTTTTTTAAAGTTATGGTTATTGAAACTATTACATGTACGCTTGCAAATTGTGATCAATAAATAACAGAACACTGATACCGAAAGTAGTGTATCGAAAATTTTTGGTGAAACAAAACCATATTTATGTCACAACATCAATCAGTGACAGTCAAAGGGTTAAAAGGTGTTTAACTAAACAATGTCTATTATCTTTGGTATAATATAGAAAAAGTTTTAGTATAGTTTAAGTTGGGTAAAAATATATTTTTATTAAAGAAGTTTAAGATAGACCATTTTTCACAAAGCATTGAACTATACAAGAACTTTATATCTATAGCAGTTATATTCTACTTCCACTTGCAGCATTACAACTGATATACAAAATACTGGTTATTCATAGATCGCTTAGTGGTAAAAGAGTTTATATGCTTTAATAACAAACCTGTAGGGGGCTCCCTTGCTCATCCTGTCCATAGAGTCGGCAAGAAGCATCATATCTTGGTACTGATCCTTGGTGAGGCTGACGGACAACTGTTCCATGTGAAGGCTCAGTATCACCTTAGGTATGCTGAACTTTGGTGTGTCGCCCTCCGGCTTGGGATTTAATTTTAACTTGGCCGTGGCGTTAATTGGTCCCAATGCTGAAATATCATGAATAATTAATTTTATACTTCAGCCTTTCTTAAACTCAAGACTTCATTAAAGCATACCTTACCGTATTTATAAGATGAAGGTTGTGATGATTTCGTTGCGATCTCATTCTGTAGCCTGACCTTAATATCTTGCGCTTCGGACTTTGAATACAACTCTGTGGCTGGATTCCAATAAATAGCTAATCCTTCCAAATCCAATATCTAACAATAAATACGTAACAGATTATGTTTTTGTTAAAGCAATTTTATACAAAGTTTCTCTTTTGAAAACATTACGTAAGACGGGTATTATAAAAATTGGTTTCGTAAACACATAACATTATATTATCGTTCACATACACTATACTTTGTATGTGCGTATTGTATACGCGAAATCTAGGACACTAGATCTCATTTCCAGATACATTCGACAATTTTATTATTGTTGGCATCGGTTTTTATAGCTATTACTTTCAAACTATGTTTCATGAATCCATAAAAAATATTACGTTGATACTACAACCTCTTTCTTACATTAAATAAGAATCTTTTTCTAAGGCAATCCTAAGAAAAACATGTTAATAAAATAAGAGAATAATCTTGATAACCTCATCATATATTTTCCTGACATAATTTTTCGACTACTTTAAACGTGCAAAGGATAGAATGTCAGTGAAAACGATAATTAGCAACATTTTTCATCCCCAGATCTGAATAATAATCCCTTATCATGCTCTTTTTAAAAAAGTATGGAAAGAAGTACAAGAGTTGAATATTGTTACCTTAAATATTTTGGTGACAGCTTCTTGAATAACTGCTTGCTTCCAGTTTTCGTCAGTAGTATGTACAGACAAGTTATGTAACGTGATTCCAAAAGAAAAGGGTGCTTTGGGATTCGTTATACTGTCCTCGTATCTTATGTGAATATCAGTTATTTTCAATTGCACATTCTTGATTATCTGTGTAACCAACTTCTCAACGAAGGTCTCATCTAGTTTGTTCTGATCTACGGAAAGATTTATTACGTTAACTATGAAAATATGATTATGTTTAACGTTAATCTTTATCACAGATTTATAGCACACTTGTATCTCAACATCACTTTACTGTATATTAAATTTTTGAAACAAATGGAAGTGTCTTAGTAGTAAAGGCTTAATTTTGTGCAAAATTCATTAACTTATTTACATTCCAATGTAAAATAAATACTAATAATTATTAAATCAGGGACATAAGACATGACTATATTCATAAGTGCAGTTAAAAGACCAATATTCACCTATATATGATTATCAGATATTGACAAACATTAAATGCACTTAACAGACATCCATTTATAGCGAACTTGATAAGAGAAATGGCTTTGATATGCAATACCATTCTGTATTATGTTTAAAGGCACTATAATCTTATCAGAACAAAAACAATAGAATAATAGTATTATTAAATTAATGTTCAAAAATTGTATATGATAAAAGGAAGGAAACTTAATAAGTTTTATGATAACGTTATATTTAGTAAAATATTTGGTACACTCAAAATTTACTATAGTACGCAGAGCTATTACTAAACATGGTGTTTTCTTTAACAAACAAACATTATGTATATTTTTATTGCGCTACTCAAATATCTTTCTGGCCTAGGCCGTCGAAACATTGCAAAAAAACCCTGTCTTCCTGGGGCTACACCAAAAATTGTATTCTGTGCAGTAACTTCTATGAAGTTAAGAGCTGCAAAGTTATATGAAAGTTATAATACCTTTTTGTGCTTCTTTCTTCTTGGCTTCTTCAACTCTCGCCAACTCCGCTTGCTTCGACGCTAACGCCATCTTCTCTTCTTTTTCCGGATCATATTTGATTTCAGCAGATGGATTTACAATCAAGAAGAGTCGTTCGATCGTCGCTTCTACTGAAGCGCCGTACAAATTCTTCCATGGTATTTTAAGGACAAGTTTTCCTATATGTAAAAATAATTATTCATAACTAAAGACTAACTCAAGTTACTTACATGCTACATATTATGAATAAAAGTAATAGATCTAAACCGTAGAATATTTTTTTTCATAAAAGACCATTTATTAATCAGCCTGCTAGTTTAGAGTTACTGGTTTGAATTCTAGTAACATTATTCTCTCTGATAGCAAAAATTAGGGTTCATTCATTGTGTTAGCTTTTTAACTATTTTTGATGAATTCTGTATTCTCAAAAGTTATTTGTTAATCTGGGCTATTTATCAATAAATTTATTTAAAAAAACAACAACAATATTGTTAGGAAAATAATAGGAAACAGAAGGAATAGTGCAGGGTAGTTTTATAAAATATATAGCAAGGATTGGCTCGGGCGTTCAGTTGCAGTCTCTGCGCTCAGTGTTTTACTAGTCGTCATAACGGAACGTTCGATATATTTGCGTTGTCGCAGTTTGTGTGTTTTTAAGTAATTTACAAGTATCGTTAATATGGCCGTCCGTCTCAATTTTAAAGGAAGTCATTTGTGGATTGTGGAAATACCTAACAATCGTAACAATAGTGTGGGAAATTAGTGTTGATTTATTATCACATTTGAGGTCAGACGGTGCCGACCTTCGTGATATGTGTGACTCATTGCGCAACTGAACTGCCGATTTGAGGGCATGATGTCACTATGAATTAATAGGTGTATAAATTATAACCACCATGCTCTGTGCTGAATGTTAATTGTACACCTTTTTAAGAACTAGTATACTATGCAACCAATGGAACAATGTGTTCACAATGTTTATAAAATATTTTTTTTTTTTAGACAAGCAGATGGAGACATAAACCAAAAACTGTTAAGATTGAATTTAGATGGCTACAAAGGAAGCGGACTGAAGAAAATATCAATGGATTCTGTGAAAAGGAATATGCTTAAAAAAGAAGTGGATTCAGATATGACGGCTGATGATGTTTATATAATATAGCTGTTCCCGTCGGCTTCATCCGTATGAAATTATAAAAACTTTATATTATTATTTACATTTGTCAAATTCTCAATTGCAAATATCAAAATACCATACCTTACTATGGCAACTTTGCTTCCTTGATGTTGGCAGCAACTTATGGTCTCTTTCCCACATTAGGATTTTTATCCAAAATATTTACCCCTTAAGTTTAATGGCGTGAAAATATATAGCTTAAAGTGTTACGTAAGTGTAGAGCTTTTTATTAAAAAAAGAATTACTCGAAATCATGCTGTAATTGCCGACATGTTAGGCAACAAATTACTTTATTATAATTGTATAGAAGTATACATTATTTTTTGTTAACTTGTTAAGAGAATGGTAATAAAGCTAAATCTTGTATAGTAATATTACATTCTTTAATTAAAACAGTAAAGCATTAAGTAGATATATATGAGAAAATTTCTACAAATATTATTTTGTTTAAACAAATGAAAAATGTGTAAATTGTATGTAAAGTCTGGAAAAGAAAGTTACATTTATGTGTACATACTTTTATACCGATTATAATAAAATTTATTTCTTAAAGATCATACAACACTGTAATACATTTTAAAATAATCACAATAGAAAGTATATTAATTTACAAAAACTGGCACAAGAACATGTCATATTATGGCATTCTTATGTTAATTAAGTAATTTGATTAAGTCCTCAGTCCACCTAATATATAGATTTTCCTTGGACTAGACATAAGTTTTACCATAGTTTTTATCTAATAGCCTACAAATTTGAAGTAATTTAACTGATGAGTTTCATCATCATCATCATCAACATGCCTTTATCCCTTATGGAGGGTCAGCACAGTATGTGCTGCTCTACCATTCATTTCTACTAGCCATATATGTAAATCCACTAGCTTTTTAAGCATATAATCTTTCACACGATCCATCCATCATCCAAGTTTCAACAACAATTTGGATTAAATGACTGTTTCCGTGGATTAACAAAAATATACATACAAATTAGTCTTGTTATCAAAGCAGATTTAAAAGGACGGAATAAGGACAAATTGTGTAGATGCAGAAGAATTATGGTTATTTTACTACATATTTTTATGGTTTATAAGTTTTTGGAGGTATCAATATCTCCACAAGTTCTATTTACTGTCAATCATGAGGGTGTATTCTGATAAGAAAGTAGGATATTTCTTTAGGTAACAGTATGTTTTTTGTAAAAATTTAAAATACAAGAATTAGATAAAATCAAGACTATTGGTGCATAGTTCCTGCAAAATACATGAAATATCTTTTACTACCCTCAACATGGTTACAAAAAAATACAAAATATTCTATGTTATTTCTTCATTATTATTACTTCTTGTCACTGTTAATTTTATATTATTCTATTTACTTTATGTAATTGTAAGTATAAAAGGTATAGGTCTTTGTGCGACAATTCAAAAACATTGCTTTGTAGTGAATGAAAGAAATAGAAATATAATAAAATTCGAACAATTTTTAATTTAGCAACCTTACCTAGATGTCCATAAACTGTCTGGACAGGGATGTTGAGTTCTTCCAATGCATTTTGCTTCAATATTAAGTTTTCTAGCACTACGTCGCCTGAAAAAGACCCAGTCGTAAATAACAACTTCCCTACAGTGGCATGACATCACTTGAGTAAAAAACTTACCGCCCCATATTCCTAACTTTAACTGAGACCTGTTTAAATTCTCGACGTAGTCTCCGAGAAATCTATTAAGGACATCAACAACTATCGATTCAAACACCATTTTAGTTTAATAATAGTATAAACCTAAAGGTTTTAAAATATTGCGATTACTTATGTCATGGTAAGACGTAACTTCGAGTCCTATATACACAAATCACATACACTAAAAACTATTCCAAAATAACAAAACACTAGATTTTTAACAAATTGGCATATCTACGTATCATAGAAGGCAAAAGGAATTGATTAAGAAATAAATATACACTGCCGAAGATGATTTTAAGAACAGCGCAGATTTGATTTGTTTTTGAATAGAAATTAAGTGATGTCCTCTGCATTTTTACCATTGACACTACATCGATATTTTATTCCGATTAAATTTCGATACATCGAATATTTTAATAATAGCTTTTGAAAGCTGTGTTTAAGATAATCAAAGTTTATTAATTATTTAAATCAAATTGATCAGAGGTTTGCTTCGCTCGTCAGCTGTGCCCTGAAAAAAAAAAATAATAGAACGTGGTACACTCGTACATCCCAACGTTGCAAAGCAATGTTTCGATATTATTCGTGACGTCTTAACATCTCTCTTAATGCTCTAACTTATCTCTAAAAAGGTCTAGATGTTATATCTGTTTTTCTTTAATTAGGTTGAATTTAACTAGAAATATCTTTGATCAACTATTCTTTACCTATGCAGGAATCGTGTTTTTTTTTTACTTAACAAGGATTTACAGTTTGTCTAAATTAGGATGATTACTTGGGCAATCGAGTAGCGATGGATTGAGTGAAATCGAGTACAACTATTTTCAATTCTTACGCTCATAGAAGTAGGGATCAATAGATTTATAATCAAATCAGTAATAGGATATCCAAAACAAATACAAAGTATTAAGTTAAAAGGTAAGTTTTACTGATACGGTTATACATAATTAAATTGGAATAAGTTTTTATTACTGTAATCGCTATCACTATATTAGAACACATAAATAAGTAAATTCAAATTATAGTTATTTTCAGCTAATTTTGACTAAACCGATAATCGACAGTTCAGTTGTAAGGTAGGCACGGATGCCTTCACTATGATAACCGTCTATTAAGTACGGCATTAACGTTCATACTAAAGTAATTGATGCTTCATATGTGTCATAGGGTATATAGGGCAAAAAAAATGGCACACAACTTATTGACACTTTTTAATAAGTTCATTTGTTCGCCGTTTATCAATCTTTAATGAAAAATAAAAGGGTACATTTGAAATATATTTCAAATAAGCTCAGTAAAGTATATGACTTATATTAATGTATTTTACTGTGCTTAAAAATTATCGAAGAATAATTCGATACTCCAAAATAAAAAAAAAGTAACAAAATGCGACTTCACTGGCAACATTATTGTAAAGGACACAACTTACCCATGTCTCATTCTCAATTTAATAATTTCCACATAACAGAAAAACATAAAAATTCATTCCTGGAATCTCTTTCAACACTTGCAGAATATGGATGAGTTATACACAAACAATACTTTTATATGATAACATTTTTATTGAATTATTTTAACTAGTATTATGCTAAATTAATAAATCGCTTTCATTCTTCAACATTTTTGTCAGAATCAAAAATAACAAATTTTACATTTAAAAATGGTAAATACCATACAGTACAGGTATCATTTAAGCAACAACCTTTTTTTATTATTTGAGAGATTTTAAAGATATCGAGTAAGCCAAACGAAGAACCACTAAATACATTCTTTCTTTGTCATTTGTATATGTTCATCTCACTCACACTACAGATATACAATAATTCTTGAAGAATATAATATAAAAATAGCAATTTTGCTAAAAAGTGAAGCTGGAATATTTTTAGAGGTTTATAACATTACAAGATATATTGGGGTAATTAAATATATATAGTTTTGACACAAATACATTTTAAGTAATATACACTGGTCAAAATATAATAAAAGATAACAATTATAATTTCAGATACACATAGATACTGTATTTCAAGTGGAATTACATTTGCACTTAGTTCTATCAAGTTATCTTAAATTAAAATTTTTACTTAACACCATTAACATGCTTGCCATTTTCAATGACAGTTTTCTCTTCAATTAAACTTAAAGACGACACTGAAAGATCTTCTTCATCTGAAACAATAAAATGATTATTCAAATAACTAATAAACTCCTATAACAATGTTAGTACTTTAGTAGCTTTTAGTTGTACTAAAACTGTTGTTATTCTTTGAATAAATTAGTTTGTAAAAAACATTTAAATGTAAATGATGATTAATGTATTCATATTGATGATTTTTATAAGAGCTGGTATTTGATGACAAGATAGATATGATTATTTCCTTGCACTATATTTGAAAGACAAGATAATAACCATATAATTAATTTAAATACAAATAGGACATTGATTTGATTCATATCTGATATTAATTCCAATATACTGACCTGAGCTAACATCAGACTGATTCCTGGGACTGAGCCTGCATCCTTTAGAGAGATAAGATTTCAGCTTTCCTAGTGAGGCTAGTATTAAACTGTAAAAAAATACATTTTACGATATAAAAAAATTCCAAGTTTTATTAGACATGAAGCTACATATTGTCCCAAGATTATTACTTAAGTATATTTCCTTTAATTTAATACCCTCTTTCACGCAATCTATAAATATAGAGAAAACCAGAAACAACAAAAAATTATAAATGTAAAGAAAGTCCAAAACAACCCTGGGATAAGTTAAAGTTAAATATTATGTAATTTTTGTTTACCCACATAATTACCATCGATATTGAAATATATTTACCCCATGAAGGGTGGGCTGGGTGAGAGCGGCCTGGAGAGGTACTCGGGGTGGAACTGCACGGTGACGTAGTAGGGGTGTCGGTCGACGAGCGCGACTTCCATGCGCGTGCGCGTCTCGTCCTTGCCCACGAAGCGCAGCCCGCCCGCCTCCAGCCGCTCGATGTACTCCGGGTTCACCTCGTACCGGTGCCGGTGACGCTCCTCGATTATATCCTTCTTATACAATTGTGCTGCAAATGACATTTTTAATATGAATAATGTAGATATATTAAAAAAAACTAATTTGAAACCCTGGACAAAGAGATACGCTTTTGTCAATTTTACATTTCCAATTATCTATTTATACTTTACTTTTTAGTATTTTAGGAGCTTGTCCCACCAAATTGTAAATTGTCTGATAATAATCCAACATGTAAAATATGTGATGGATATATCGGATTTTGTTCCCTTATCTAACAGTGACGTCTTTTAAAACTATATGAGTCAGTATCAGCCATTGGTGGGACAGTCCCTTGATATTTGATCTTGTTAATTAGCATCTCAGATAGCCAGTATAAATACTGAAATCCTAAATGTCTTACCATTTGTAAATTTAATAAAAACCTCTAAATAGTATTAATTTTGCAATGAAGTTATATTTTATCAATACTAACATATTAAACTAGATTCCAAATATGTCTTGCGTTTGCCCAATCTCATTGTACCGCCAAGATTCCCGGGATGGTGTTCCGGCATATCGATGACCAGTTTGTCTTCACAATTGGGATCTACTTCTGTGCTATTAGCTCCCTTCAGACCGAGGACATTTCTTGCAAACTCTATTACAGCAGCTTGTAGACCTAAGCAGATGCCCAGCATAGGTTTCTGGGTTTCACGGCACCATTGAGCTGCTTCAATCTTTCCCTCCATTCCTCTTTGTCCAAATCCACCAGGAATTATCACCCCACTAAAAGAAAATACATTTAAATTAGTCTACTCTAGATTTTATTACACAGATTAAAAAAAAAGCATACTTTGATAGCAGATCAAATTTAAATATCAGTAAGTAATTGGACTGCTATACATATACTAGTATTATAAAGAGGAAAGATTTGTATTTTTGTATGTATTCGATTCACTAAAAACTATTGGACTGATTTCAAAATTATTTTTTTTAATTTCACACGGACGTAATCGCAAGCAACAGCTAGTCTACAATAATTACATAATTAAAATAAAAATACTTACTCGCACTTACAAAGATCCTGCCAAGCCTTATGATAGCTAACAGGGTCGTCTATCTTCGTCTGGCGCTCCAGAGAAACGGCTTCTACGTACGTGAGATTAAGTCTGTAGCCCGCCGCTATAGAGGCGTGCTGCAACGCCTTAGTAACACTTGCATAGCTATCCTCCAACTTCGTGTACTTTCCTACTAAAGTTATGTTTACTTCTTTACGTAAATTCTCTACCCTCTTTGCTAGATTACGCCATTTCTGCATAAATCTGTGAACAAATACTTTTATCTTAATGTCATTATTATTTTTGGTCTGTTTTAATCAGTATAAATCATTTAGTTATTTCGTTTTTACCCAAGAAAATAAGACAGACAGATATATAGTATTATTTGAGTATGGTTATAGTAATTATATGATCTTACGAAGTTGCTAAGTATATTTCTTTGAGGAAATATCAGCTAAAACAAGTTTAGTGTAGTATAGTATGTTCAATTTATATCAGGAAGTTTCATTATTGATGACTATAGATATCCAAGGTCTTTGTAACTTTAGAATAAATAAATACAATTAAATAAATTAACCTGTGTTTAATTTTTGCAGAATGCTACGACAAATTCAGACATACTCTATTTTTTTAAATAGCATTATATTTTAATGAGTATTTAATTGACGTGACCTGAATGATAACATTAGTAACAATTATTGTTTGTTATGAGGAAGAAATATATTTATTTATTGCTCTCAAATTGAGGTAGCTTATCTACCTAGGAAATGTTTTATTTATCTAAAAATGTTACTTCACCATACATAAACAAACGTAAAGATCGTTGTCTACACAATATAGTTGTTACGTTGTTTAAGTCGCAACAAAATTGTTGTAACAAGGTCATGATTACGTATGTTAGTGCGTGTTAAAAATACCGCACACGATAATTTACAGCTGAATAGAAATCAATCATATTAAATTAATAAGTACTAATAAACTTTATAATCCGTTTTTTTAATGTTTACAAAGAGCTAGAAGCAAAAGTAATTAAATGCATTGAACATACTACACTTTGCTATGACATCATAGACATTTAAGACATGAAATTAAGGTCACTACATCTTCTTTGTTGTGAAACCTAGTTTTAGACTCTCAAAATATTTTTATTCTCTAAGGAGTTCATTATTATTTTTACCATTATTACTCGTATTAAAAGATTTGTAGTAATCACTAATCAGCCTTTTTATACTTGACATCTTGAACTGCTAAAAACCCCATAAAAGAATGCATATTGTTCTTATTCTAGGAGGAAAAATCTTACCTTCCCGGGCGAGGCACGGACATATTCAATTGCAGCCTTTCATTGAGATATTGCACCACACCCTGCGCTTCCATCAGCAAAGGTACATGATATACTGAACTCAGATCATGTATGCATATAACCTGATCGAGAATGGTTAGAATAAGGATAAAGAAACAAAAAATTACATTAAATTTTGATTTAAATATATTTCTCTACATCATATAAGGAATTTAGTGATCTGATAAAGTCTTTAGAAAAAATGCGATTCCTATTCTCTTGTCTATATTTTTGTTGCCATCATTAATACTTATAATTTTTTACTTCTAAAAAACAAATTCCTCATTTGCCATATTCTTTCATAATATTTAACATTTAAAATATTTGTTGAATATATAATAATATTGTTTATATACCACATCATAACATGATGTATTGTTGCATTGATTTGCAAACCAATATATATAACAATTGTTGTACAAGTTTCAAAGCATTATATTTTTGTTGTATAGCTAATTGTTTCATAATAAATGTAGAATGCAATACAAGTTACAGTAATTTTACAAAAAGCATAATTAACTACAGATTAAATAAGATTTAAACCCATCTAATAAAAGGGTTCCATATTGAAATAGATAAAAAAACTATTCAAAATCTAATTCTGTAATAAATCTATTTATTTTAATATTTTTTTTTTATACAAGCTACAAGCCAAAGCCAAAACTAATAATAACATAGAAGCATATTTAATTAGTTTTCTTAGTAGTTTTCTTTACTTATGAATTGTACATACATGTGAACAGATATTTTCCTTTTCAGAGATCTGTTAAAAATAAATTAAATGGAACTCAAAATTTACTTCTTTAGTTAAATTAAATATTAAAAAACTTAATTTCATTCTCTTTTCAAATGGCTGGTTAAATTTATAAATAAAATACCACTTTTCTTCAATTCTTGGCATAAATAAAACTTTGCATAATCTAAACAAGGATTGGCGGCAGGCAGGCGGCCGACCGCAAAAATAAGTAAGCCAAAACAACAAGGTAAAGGTTTTCGATACTCGAAATTAAATGAAAACCCGGTGTTCATCGAACCTACGGGAGATGATAATGAATCTAAACAAGGATCATTCTTAAAGACTAACAAACATAATAATGGTAATACACATTAACCTAGATTACTTTAAAGTTTTAAAAGATGGAATAAACTCACCTGTTCAGGTCCGACATGACAGAAATTGGAAATCTTTTCTTTGACTGTGTGATTGATAGGTATTTCAGAACGGCATAGAATCAAATCAGGCGATAAGCCAAGTCCTCTAAGTTCTCTGACTGAGGATTGTGTAGGTTTTGTTTTTGGTTCACCTGTTGATTTTGGCTGTAAAGAATCCACAATTTATATTAATAATTCAAGGTATCACAAGTAGGTAAAATGTATGTGGCAAATTGTTGTTTTTTTTTGAAATATTGCATATGGAATTAGTATAGGATAAAGGTAGCAAAAAAGCCAAATTTTACCGGTTTCATAAATGTGAAAGTTTAACACCTGAACAGCATTTTTTTTCACCTGGACATAGTTACACAGCTATTATTTTTAACAAATTAAGTATATTAATAAAATACTACTTACCATCGGCACCAAAGAGACATGAGCACAGCAGAAATTTTCTCTTTTTACTCTAAATTGGAATTGTCTAAATGCTTCAACAAATGACATTCCTTCAATATCACCTATTGTTCCTCCCAACTCAATAATGCACACCTTAGGCGCGGAATTGTCTGGTGTAACAGGAATATGAGCCACTCTTTGCACCCATTCTTGAATAGCATCCGTTATGTGGGGAATCACTGTTGACAATAGAGAGATAATAATTCTCTTTCTATCAAGGGATAAATGTGTATATTTAATATGTAACTAATAATCTGACAGAGCGATGTTTACCTTGAACAGTCTTTCCAAGATAGTCCCCACGCCTTTCACGTTCAATGACCTGTTGGTAAATCTTCCCAGTCGTGATATTATTGTCCCGATGCAGTGTGATATCCAAGAAACGCTCGTAGTTGCCAAGATCAAGGTCCACCTCACCTCCGTCATCAAGCACGTAAACTTCACCTAGAAAATAAAAATAGAACGTGTTATGTTGTCGCACTTACTATGGTTACCACGCGGTGTATTTGTTTTGCAATTTAATTAAATAAAGCTTACCATGTTCATATGGAGAGAAGGTACCAGCATCAATATTAATATATGGGTCGATTTTTATAGACGTAACATCAATACCACAGCTCTTTAAAATTGTCCCGAAAGAACTTGCGATGACACCTTTCCCTACACCGCTGATGACACCGCCAGTTACTAAAATGTATTTCATGTCCGGCATTTTGGATTAAATTTCTTCTACTAGCATCGTTACAGAATTTTTTCTTAAATTCAATTCTATGTGTGAAATAGAATCGTTATAGAAAATTAAGTAGAACCAATCACACATGTGCCTGCTGCGTCAAACTCACACTGCGCGCCAGGTTTTAGTTTTTAGTGTTGCCAGCCATTACCAACATCGGTTTTCTCGTAACTCGATTCACCATCCAATAGTATGATATGTTATACCTACGTACTATTTATATAACTATTCCTTGACATGATTCGCTCCTGCATCTTCTCTCTGGTCTTTGTCAATTTGACAATTGTCAAAGTGCTTTCTTTACGAATAAAGGTTTTGTTGTGAATTTTAAGAAAAATGCCTAAATACTATTGTGATTATTGCGATACTTACTTGACGCACGATTCACCTAGCGTCAGAAAAACCCATTGCACAGGGAGAAAACACAAAGATAACGTAAAATTCTATTACCAGAAATGGATGGAAGAACAAGCACAACATCTTATTGATGCTACGACAGCCGCGTTCAAAGCTGGTAAAATTGCTCAGAATCCATTTGGTAACAAAGGCGCAGCCATACCTCCTCCATGGGATCCTTCTGTTATGGCACAAGGAGGACCTAGGCCACCAGTTCCTACGCCTGGTGGACCTCCAGGGATGTTACCACCTCCAGGAATGGGTCCAGGCGGACCTATGGCTCCTCCAATGATGATGGGACCACACGGACCAATGCCGCCTATGATGGGTATGCGGCCACCTATGATGGGTCCTTTGATGGGACCTATGGGACCAATGGGACCGATGGGTCAAATGCGACCACCATTAATGAATGGACCACCAATGAATAAATAGTGCAAAGTGGACAATTCTAAATGAACATTATAGACCATGTTATTTAGAAAACTTGAGGTGTTGTGTGTTTGAGGTTATATTACTTACAGATGTAAATAATATATTAAATATACATAATTTTAATGAATATCCATAAAGATTGTTGTAATGTTTAAAACACGTTTTAAGAGAGAATTTGAGATATAGCATGTCCTAAGGTTCTTGCATAAATGCAACATATAACAGCAACTGGAGTTGTTACTTGTGCAAGTTTTAAAGTCATCAATAGGTCTCAATAATGTTTGCTTACACACATTTATAAAAAAATATGTATATGTATAGTATTTACGAGAAGTAACTTGAGATTTTCCTAAATAACGAACTAGTTTACAAAAGGGAACTTCAAATCCTATTCTAAGGCACACATCCTCTTTTTGTAAGTTGCTACATAAGATAATTTTGTAAAATAAAGGAATTTCAATAAATTACTGTTTTAATATGTCAGTACATCATTTATTATAAAAAAAAACATTAAAAAAACAATGGTATAAAAACTATCACATTACACTATTCAGCTACAGAACTGGATGGTGGAGGTACTAAAGTTCTGTTTCTATTGTATAATGCTGTCATCACAAGGTCCGAAAGCAGGAGACATATTGAAATAATCGGTAACAAGCCGCTTAGCACCAACGGAGCACGTCTTGTTTTCCTTACTAACTTAAAACCATTGAATACTGCAATTGATAATGATATTTGTAGTGTACAACAAGCAACCAATCCATACATTTGTAGAAAACGAGACGCATATTTGTTCCGTATTGCTCCAAACACAAAGATGCTGAGGAAAATGTATGTAGTAAATATGGTAACAGGAGCAATAAGAGAATGCGTTATACCCAATGGTGGTGAAGACACCTCGTTAATCAAGTTAGCTGTATTCAGTACAATTGTGAGAAATCTAATTTTGATTGAACAAGCTACAACATTCATTGGTTTCTCTTAGTGTTAAAATTGCATTATTAATAATCTTTGTATATTATTATTTAATGAGTGATATTTGCAAATTATGCAATATCTTAGCAAACTTCTTGATTTAATTTGTGGCACTTTGAATAATAAGACATTTCAAGATTTGACAGTTAAAATAATAGAATATGGAGAAAAAATTATAAGCACAATGTCAAAATAAAATCTCAGAGTAGTTATGAACCTGCAGGTTGTTAATCAACCTGTAATATAAGAGAGTTTTCTATTGATGGAGTTCGCAAGAATCACCAAGGTACCAATTAGAGAAAGGCCACATAGATAAATAGATATTACTATTATAATTTATTATTTTGGGTGATACAATAGCCGCTAGTTAGCTGATGCATGTGTTGTATAGCTCGGAACTTTTAAGTTTATCTAGTCTATTTTTAAAAGTGTTGACTGTTGGATCCACTACGCTATCCAGAGATTCTCACATGTAATTCAATAAATTGTCAGGCATTTCATTCCCCCTTGATCATTGGCCTTCCTCACATCCCTAAGTTAGATCAAAGGTTGGCGACGCATATTCTAGAAAACATAAACGTAAAGGATATGAAGAATAAAAAAGTCAAATCATCATTCAACACATTTATTATTTTCCGAATAACTTAAAAACTTTGAAAAATTGAAAACACTACATTCATAGGTAAAACCTATTAATTATTCAATAAATACTTACTCGCTAATTTGTAACCATCGAATTATATTATTATTATATTAGAAACAAATATTGGCCCCATTAGAGCGACAAAAAACAGTAAAATTTTGAGCTCGAATTACCATTTCCGGTAAAAAACACTGGATTTAAAAAACATTTCGTGCTTTCAAAAAAGATTCAAAGCATGAAAGACTAGATTAAAGCTTCTATCAATTTCATTGCTATATTTACAAAACAGATGTTATCAAACAATTTATAAAGCACCGCTTTAAGGCTTTCGGACTATTGGGATCATCATAAAGCCGTTTCTAATGTTGTCGGAGAAGTTTTTCCTCTTTCAGGTGACGTTTCACTTCTCTTAGTTCCTGCGGGGCCTGACGATGTAGGACTTTTAAACGACGTAAATTTAGGAGGTGATGATTCAGGCGATGTACTGAAAAATTCTGCCCGCTTCGCTTGTAGTATCTCTGATCTGGTTAGAACATGGCATTTGTTTTGATCGGCGTTCAGAGGGAATACACCATGATCGATCGATTCGAGGAAATCGTTTTCAACTTCCGGAGTCCTTTCTGAAATCGGTATAAGATTTCTACGAGCACCAAAATGTTGATTAGTAACAATTGGTATGGTTTTAGATGGCGGGCTGACTGGAGAGGCGTCCTGTTTTTCACCGGAGCTGTTAGACGTTTCGTCCTCGTTATTAGCTTCAGGTATAGGCGTAGAAAGTACATCTGATCTCGGACTAGAGAAACGCCATTGTGATTTAGGTGATAGTAATATTTTTTGTGTATTTTTGTGTTCTTTTATTAAAGCGCTTGTTCTTCCTGGTGACGTAGGTTGATTGTTAGACTTGATAGTTTTTCTATGATTGTATGTTTTTGGCGATCCGCTGAGATCCAATATGTTAATCTGCGATCGGTTACCGGGTGGAGTGCCGGGTGTTTTTTCTTTAGACAGTTTTAATTGTTCCACTGCTGATAATTTAGTTGACTTATTTTGTGGATTTAATGTATTAAGTTTTACACTGTGTTGTAAGAGTAGTTTTTTGAAATCAAGTCTTGAAGTTTGAGGAATCGGTCCAAAGCGATCAGCGCATGTGCTCTCTTGTTTTTGTATACCCGGTAACAAAATCGGGGCGGCTTGGGGAATCATCTGTCTCTCAGTAAGAGACCATCTGCTTCTTGGATCGCCTAAATAACCAGTTTCAGGATAACGTTGAGAACCTTTACTGTACAAGGATGGCTCCGAAGGCACTGGCGATAAACTCAACGTGGACAAAGCTGGTGACTCTGACCTCTCAGGTGGTTCTTTAATATTAAGTTTCTTTTTACTTTTATGGATAACTGCATACAATTCTTCATTTGTCATAGTAGATTTAACCGGTGACAACAATTTTGTGCTAATATCGACTGTATTTTCTTTACTAGTAGGAGTGGACGATTTAAACGTTCCTGAATTTCTAGGATCTATTGGAGAGATCTTTATTGATTCAGTATCTGCGCACCGCTTATCAGCTAAGAGGTGTACATCTGCGACTGTTGTTTTCTCAGAAAAGTTTCTTCCTCGACTTTGATCATGAACGGGTCTTTGGAAATTCTGATCAAATGGCATTCTCTTGGGAAGAGTCCAATATTTAGGTTGGCCTCTTTGAATAGGATTTTCATAATCCATGATTCCATGTCGACCTCGCAGATGTGCCGTGTGGGGCCGATGGAGAGTGGGATTTATTGCATTAAGATCAACTGATGGTCCATTGTTTTGCGTTTTTCTGGTTGTAGTTAAAACGGGTTTGTCAGCACTGGCATGTCGAATGTCTGGAAATGGAATTATATAGATTACATTAGATTTAAACACAGTAATTAGGCTCCACATACCCCTTTATTTGATATATCTGTATACTCGTAAATACAAGATGCAATTAGCTCTTTTAGACGTACATGTATAACTATTTTTATGTTTTAAAATGTTATATAGCTAGTTAATAATGACATCTAATATAGTGAACGTTTTCATGTTTGTGGACAAAAAGGACGTTTTCTCTTTTGTAAATTGACTGTCTCAGGAAGGAAATGTTTTTAATATTTTTAGTAAATTTGCTAATTACATCTTGAAATCTGCAATAGCATCTACATAACAATACGTACGAAACATACATACAACCATTTCCGCAAGCTTCTTAATGCATACGTTGTTATAACGTATTTGTAAAATGTTTGAGGTCTTATTTGATTTGGCAATATGGTGATATATTTAAATAGTGCATGGGTACGATATAACAATTCGCATCTCCAAAATGTTTGATATAATACTGTTAATGGGCTCAAATATGTTAGTTTTTCATTATTTACTCGTAACTAAGCTTTGTATGGTTAGACAATTAGATATGTGCATTTAAAGAGAAGTTATTACTTAATTATAATTTATGTAGCGGTTAACAGGCTGAGATAAAAATAAAACTTAACTAAAGCTATTATGAGTATAATCAATATAAGAAAATGTTAGGAGTGTAATTCTAAGAATGTTCATGCATATGAATATTGGACATGCCAAGAAAGCAACAAAAACTTTACCTTTGAAGAAGATGGCGTTAACAAAGTCGCAACCATTGGAAGCAATCTCGTTCACTGTGCAAAGCGATGTAGGATGAGTGTTTGAACATAACCCGTGGGGTAGACAGCAACAATAAATGTCCTACAATACTTCACTATTGTGTCCATTATCGTAATACTTGTGTTGATTTAAAAATTATCGTTGTCAATTTTTTTAGTTTACGGATGATAACGATTTGTTGCAAAACAAGTGTTTAGATAATGGAAACTCAGATTTTATATAAATATGATAAAAAAAATCAAAATTTATGGGCTATTTATTGTTGCGTTCTCGAATAACCATTGTCTGATTTTTACTTTTGTCTTATCTTTCCAATACAGCGATACCAAGTTATTTAAATTAGTTGTGTTATAGTGCCTGTGTGTTTCGGATGTAACCAGTTAATTGTTTTATTGTTAATCTTTTGTCATCTTAAAAATTCTTTATGTACACATCCGTAAGTTAAAGTAATAATTATAATGTGCCTTTTTATTATTTTTAGACTGTAGAACGAGATCTGTTATAAATATTTATTGTGGTAGAAATCAGCATTTTTTTTTTACTTTTTATAACAGAACCATTCGGTCATAACAAATTTTTTGAAGCTGTGTGCAAGGTGATAGTGAGGTGGGGGTGAGACACGAAGGAGTGACAAATGAAATAAGTGCAATAAGTTCACAATAAATCTATTATTATTTACAAAACACAAAAGTCATACAGAGTAACACCATGCACTTACACACGAAGAACGTCTGTCGTAAGCTGTGCACACTGCGGCGATATAAGCCACCATGCAATATTTAATTCACAAACAGAACGTACCTAAATAAAATTGATTCTATTTAAATGGCATTTAACGGCAAAATAACTAAAAGGGTAAAATCTAAAATTCATAAATCCTAATAAACAAAACAGATAGCAATGAACTGGTCAATAATTATCACAGAGACAAATAATTTGAAAGAAATAAATAGGAAGACGCGATTGAATATTCATATTGGACGGATTTCTTCCATTTCGTTATATGACTAAAACTTAACAATTTAATAAAGTACATTTGTAATATAAAAATATTAGATTAAAACATTTTACAATTCTTTTATTAATCTACATATAAGCGTATTAGACTTGCGAAAAGGTACAATATTTAGGTAACAGAAAAAATCGGATATGTTAAGTAACATAAAATTGAATTTTTTATATTTACCAAATCTCAGTGC